GGTTGCTGCTTCGGTTTGCTGCCGGTGAAGTTGATTGTATTGGGGCTCGGACTGCGAGTTGCGTAGTCTCTTTTCTCTCCCATGCGATCTTTTCGTGCCGTGGGCGTTTCCAATAGAAAGAACCATGGACACAAGCAAAGCTAACACATTGGAGGTCTTCATATTTTAAGCTGTCGGTCGTTTTTATGGCAAGGGATGGCACAACTTCTGGGTCACAAGTCACGGTTGGCTAAGCTTACCAGGTACCGGTACAGCTGTACTAGCTAGTAATAGAGTACCGGTACCGGTACCCAGGTTACCGTACTGGTACACTTACCGGTATGGCACCCGTATGTATACCGGGTACCGGGTAAGGGTAAAACATTCGATACGGACAGTGCATGTACCGGTACGCATTCCGGTTGGTGCCCATTACCAGTCAGTGTTCTACACTCTTACCTCATCAATAAGATATCTAGATTCTTAGTTCAGTACTGGAGGTATGATGTATCTTTTTTATATAAAAGGATTCAGCCACGCTGAGTTATAATCTTACAAGTGGCCCAATCCCAGTATCTTTTGTATCTTATTGCCACTCTATTAGCTATTGTCACATACCCTTTTACTAGCCATGCCCACAGACAGGGAGGAGCCACCACCAGAGCCCAAGAAGGCAAAGGTGCAAATCCAAAATTGATGAAACCAAAGATGTTGTGGTAGACAAGGCACCCCAAGATGCGGATTTGGAGTGCTTGGATGTAGGTCGTGAAGTGGAAGGTCCAGACCAATCGCAGTAAGGTAGAGCTGGTGATCCTCGTAGTAGGCTTCGTGGGCCATGCGGCGCAGCTTCTTCTCCGTGGCCAAGATAAAGGGTAAAATAGCCATAGTACAGGGATGCATCTAGTTTCATTGAATCCTTGTTGTACCCAGCGAATCTCCTACCACATCTCTGGCAGAGATAAAGGACAGTGTCGAGGTAGCGATTTCTGGAGGTACCAAACAGCACTTTGGGACAGTTCACCCATCTAGTCTTGGTCAGATCGACATTATCTCTCTTCTTGCAGTGTGGACAGCAAGGGACATGGTTTGGATATAAGTAGTGTGGTACCCATGCTGCTACTGGCTTGACATAGAAATGCTCCACGGTCGTTTTCGTTGCGCGCTGATCCAATAGACATGAGTCGAAACGTCCTCCGGTGGAGGGAGCAATACTCCTCCAGTCATTCCTCTTGAAGAATTTCCTGGGGTCAGCGTCAATAGCCTCTCGCGTGCGCAGTACAAACCGCCATTGTGCATCTCCTAGTTGCTTCGGTTTGGTTCTTGGCGTTCGTGATGTCATGGTTGGATGCTACTTGATTGCTTCGGTTGATTGCTTCGATAGTGGTGTTGTGTCATTGGCTTCCTCCACGATTTGACGACAAAATGTGACCGGAGATGCTTAAGGTTAGAGTAGCAATATTTCGCACCCTAAGTAGCATTTTTCAGGCGTTGAATAGGAGCGTCTTATTCATTGTACACTTTAACCTTAGAAAACGACGTCATAAAGGCCATCACAAGACCATTAGATTTAGTGCAAATATCATCGAGGATTAGAGAGCTGCGTCAGTGTGACAGCGGAGGTCATACTTTTTTTTATAGTTCTCTTCTCTTTTTTTCTCTCCTCCTAGCTAGCACGAACCGTAACTCGGGACGACCCAAGAAACGAGAGCCAGGATCCAAAAACTGCACGAAGCCAGCACCGGCATCTTCCAAAGCAACACGGAGTTCAATACTAATGAGCCAAACCAAGCTCTCTTTCAAGTCATAACCATCCAGAACAACACGACCAAGAAAGTAACGAACACAATGCATTCCTTACCGCCGCCTGACAAAAGATTCCATACCCGATCGCGCACGATGAAGACGGTGGTTCTCTTTACCTGTATGGCAAACAAGGCAAGTCAACAAGTGATGACAGCAAGAAGAAGGTTATTCTTTGCTGTCCTGGTTTCCCTGATGATCATGAGTCGTTTATGCCTGTAGCCTCGCGATTGGCCAAGGAGAGTCATTAGTATTTTGGGTTTTGACGATCGCCCTGAAAAACCATGGAAAAGTCATTGGAAGGATGGTTATACGTTTGAAGAGATGGTAGCTGCCTTCATAGAGGGATCCAAGACCCTGCTTACCGAGGTGACTGGCTCCACCCCACGAGAACAATTTGAGTACACAGTTATGATTCATGATTGGGGGTCCCAATAGGCATGACCCAGGTCAACCGGGCTGTTGAGGAGTCGATGTGTGGAAGTGAAAAATTCAGGGCATTGGTTCCACTTGCAACAGCCGGAGATCTTCTTTCAAGAAGTCTGCAATTTCCTCGGCTTGAGCACGAAATGAACATAGTCCTCAGTAAGCATGTCGTAAAGATGTGTCACGAAAGTCCCGAGATGAGCGTTGTTGACAGAGGAGTTAGTGTCAGTCCTAGCCAGTGTACCTCTGCGGAGCTACCGGTACCAGCTCTCGAGCAGCCACACAGCGTTGTTGGCTGTCCAATAGCATACAGCCCTTCCATTCCACAGAGGCTCCATTCAGCTTTCTGGACCAGGACCTGGCTAGATGGTCATGAATCTTGGGTTGCGCTTCGAGGAATGGCAGCTAGCTAGCTAGCTAGCCAGGCTTTGGTGGTCGTTTAATCAGTGTGGGCCCTTTCCCTTGCCCGGCTTCGGAGTTTTCTTTTGACTTTCCAGTGGGCGGAATACTCGTTGTACAAGAATCGAATCGAATCGAATCGAATCGAATCGGATCTGACGTTTGACGGTGACTTGGCTGCTACTCTTCCAGGAAGGTTACAATCGCACCACAAAACCTTTATAAGCTACACTAAATCGATTAAAAACAACTTGTAACTTTTATGGAAGTTTACGTTTATCGCTGGGACGTGCGGTGTTCTGACGACATCTGAGCGCTGTCGCGGCTTCCGATTGGAAGGATGTCAAAAAATAATATTATACCCCAGCTGGAGTTGATAGGCTTGAATTATACTGTACCATGGTTTATGATAAAACATGATTACTACGGATTCGGGAAGAACTGTCCTTTCCCATGCTCTAAAGCGGATATCCGACATCCGACCCTCTGAAGGGAATTTTGGAATTTTCCTTGAGCTTTACTTAATAAAGGACAGTGCTGTTGGATTGGACTCCTTCTTTGAGACAAACTTGAGGATCGACTGGCGCGCCGATTAATCCTCACATAGAAACTTACACAACCTATGTACGGGGAAGGAAAATCTCCTTCGGAGGGTACAGAAATCCGCTTCAGAGCATGGGAAAGGACAGTTCTTCCCGAATCCGTAGTATAAGATCCGAAGGGAATGCAATTTGGGCCCGTTTTAATCCATTTTAGCTCATAATGGTTGGATGGTTGGATCATCTCCACGAGAAAAGACACCTTGAAGATTCCCATTACAGGTCCCCCGCCACAACTTTATCATAAATCATTTTGACATGGTAGTCTACCTACTCGGTGGTCTTTTAAAAAAATGCGTCTGTGGCAACCAACCGAGTGTACAGTAAAGGTACCGGTAGCTACGAGAGCTCTACGAGAGCTTCTAGAGTGTGTAATTTCCAATTTCCTTGAAGACCCGTGACTCCTGACTCCTGACCTGGTGGATCGAAAGCGAAGCTCGATGAAGCCATCAAGAGAACTGCGTTATTCCCAAAGGTGCTCCTTGGTTGCTCCAATAGCCTTTCCGCTGTTCATGGCTTCAACAAGAGAAAGCCCGACATAAGGCATAGAATGATCGATGAAGGCTACTGTACAGAGGACGACCAATGCGATCCCCTCCTGACTTTTAGAAGTGGGAGTTGAGAGTGGGGCCCACTAGCTGGCCCACTCAAGTCATAAAATAATCATTGGCTTGCTGAAAACTCGGAATCTGCGAAGAGCAGGAATCGAGGAAACGAAGGTGGATCCCGTTCAAAACTACGCATCAGAGTTGACCCAAGAAACCACATCACAAACAAATCAAAAACCACAACTTATCACAAGGACCGATTGATGTCAGGGCAATCTTGTGTGGGAACCGAAGCTGCCACATCTAGCCAGATTGGCAATCCCAAGTTTCGTCCCATTCGACTCATTAAACTGATGAAAGCAACAGAGTAAGAAAGTAAACCAAGACGAGCGTAAGACCAACAACCAACTAGCTAGGAGGCCAATGTTGCGCGACAAGGCAGAGACTGACAGTAGCATTTACAAGAATCAAAGAAAGAGTCTACCAGCAGAGATCGTACCATTGCGTAGACTTCAAGAAATGGATTCTGGAGACGGTGGCAAAGATGAGATACCCACCAAACAGAGTAATGATGCCGCGAGCAACCCTGACATGTACCCTGGGTTTGGTAGGCTATTCTCTCAACAACTACGCAACAACGCCGTAATAAGAGGCGATGGCTTCGAGTCAATCAACTCTCCAGACGAAGGCAACGAGTACGTCGACCAGAAGATTGCACCAAATCAGGAAGAGCGAAAGGTGGCGGCATGCCTCAAGAAGCCCCCGCCGGAGAACCGAAAGCGCCGTCGTCCCAGCGAGGAGCACGAGTCAAACAACCATACGAAGCAACACCGAGAGAAGAGTCAAGTGCATCACGAGTACCATGATTACTCAGGCTTGTCAGGGGACTTTGTGCTTCCAGCTTTGAAACAGAAAGGTCGGGGAGGAGTCAGTTCCATGTTTCCAACTGTCTTGCACCACATGCTGGATGAAGCCGAACGCCAAGGGTTCTCCCACATTGTTTCATGGCAACCCCACGGGCGTGCATTTCATGTACACCTTCCTGAGAGGTTTGTGGCTGAGGTGATGCCCAACTACTTCCGACACACCCGCCTCTCGTCCTTCCAACGACAACTCTCCTTGTACGGATTCACGAGGTTGGCAAGAAAAGGTAACTAGAACAATGGACAAAAATCATGGCATGTGTGCTTCTACCGGTCTCTCACATCATGTTCTTTCTCGTTCCCTTGCCAGGTCCTGACCGCGGTAAGAACAATCGTGTATGCTATAGTTTCCACTATGAATCGGAAACTTATAGGCAGCGAATGTAGGTTTAACTTGAGGGTCGCCCCTTACGCTTCTCTTGTACCTCTCCACCAAAGGCGCCTATTATCATGAGTAAGAAGTTCTAGAGCAATGCTTGCCCAGGAATGACTGCACTTGTTTTCTGACACGCTATTCACTGTTCACACTGTTGCAGGTGCTTCCTTCGAGGCCTTGTCCACCTATGCACAAACATTCAACGAACGAGAGTGAAGGGGACAATGGTTCGACAGTCTTCTTCCCCCGAGACTGAACCTGACTTTTCGGTTTTACCACCAGTGGGAGTGGACCACGCAAAGTCTACCAGCAGCTTGTTTTCCGCCAGGGGGTTGCAAGTTGCAACCGTTGTTGCCAACAGGCTGGATTCGGGCAAAACAGAGGGCCAACACGGCAATGCTAACCATGCAACGTCCGCACCACAGCTCGCTTACAACGACATTATGCTACGCAATCTGCAGGATCCACCCAGAAGTGCGCTACCAACGAGCCAAGATCCTTTCGACCTCAAGGATAAGAGAGCGCGATCTGAGAACCTGAGGAACGAAATGTCGCAGCCACCACCGCCAGCCCCGCGGGCATGGGGGTCGAAGTATATGCGCCATTTGCTAACCCGCACCCTGACACCACAAGGGGAACAGCAGGAAGGCTCGAACCAGGAAGGGAACGCGGAGGAAACTCAGCCATCCAATCCAGAAACGGAGGTTGGCTCTCAAGGCTCAGGTGGCTCTTCCAAGTCTCATGCCAAAATCGACGCCGAGTCAGACTTGGCTGTGTTTCTCGAAGAGGTCGACTTGGACACTGACGAAGACGAATGTTTAGAGAGCGAAGAAGCAATGGCTCGAATCCTTGAGCAAGAAGTGAACCAAATATCCGAGGTATAGATGACGGTCCGAGGGGGGCGTGGCACGATTGCCACTCCAGCGGCGACATGCTGTTTAGATGATCACGGTCTTGTCCGGGCTAGAAGCCTGGTGACTGCACATGGTCAAGCAAGAAACTCAGTAGCTAAAAGACGACAGAATAGATAGAACCATCATTACTTGTAGTAGTCAGTCGTAGTTAACTGTTATTGGTGCAGCGTCGTGTCCGCCCAGTGGACTGGCTGCTCGCTCCTGCTTGGACGGGCGGATCAATTCGTTCCTTGCTTGCTGCTCTGCGCAGTTGCAATCTAGCACACGCTGGGCGATGGGTCCTTGTCGGATCACGGCGGCAGCCAACTCCATCATGATAAATTAAAGTCAAGAATTCGCTAATTCTATCCACCTTAGAAGATGGCCTTGTTCTAACTCCAAGGGTTGGGAGATGGCCTTATCTAAGTCTCTGAACCCTGCACCCTGCCCCTGGGCTATCCAGAATGCAAGCACTTGCTTGGCCACCACTTTGTATAGTCTATGTTCTGTTTTTGACATCCACCTTGGGCCAAGGGGAAGATTGCACCAAGAGCCTGCACCTTCATCGAGTGGTTTGCCTGACTCGACTCTGACTCGACTCTGGGATCTCCGAACGGGGCAAGCTGATCATCAAGCCGTGTTCTCTTCAATGTTCGCCAGTCGCCACCACCCACCTCAGCCGGATCTCATTTGATACTTCCACGAATGAACGAAATGAGAAGCTAAGGGTTCGCGTAACACGAACCTTTGAGACTGAACGCGAACCGCAAACTTTGCATCCAAGACCACAGTTCCAACCTCTCGTTCTCCGAAATACCGGTACGACTGGTCTGGTACAGTATCCATCCAGCGTCTCCTCGCCGGTTGGAGCTGCCGTTTGGATGGATGATGGAGTCCTCAGCCGCCAATAGCTTGCAGGTCAGGCGGGTTGACAATGACGACTTTTGACAGTCAAGCCTACAGGGTTTGCGGCGCCCACTTCCGCGCTGTCAGCCTACAAAGCAAAACTACTTCTGAAAGGGAGAATGGCGTAAACAAATCATAGGCTGCATGTAGTTTTCTATAACATATAAAATCTCTAGTTGACCCCGTGTCAGACATCTGGCAGGAACATTCAAAGGGGTTGCTTTCTTTACCTCTCTCTAACGAGCGAGATACTCCTTGGAAGAACATTGGAGGAAGAGTAGAACGATTGTCGTCGTCGTCGCGTTGTTTGCTTGATTGCTTGCTTTGTGGCTGGTATTGCTGCCTTCCCCGTGGCTGTTGGTTCCGTTCGTTATGCAATTTGTTGTTCCGTTCATTCAATCACACGCTCCAACATGTCCATGAAGGCATCGTCGTTTTCCATGTGGTCATCATCGATCTCGGCATAAAGGCTGTCCAATTCCAAGTTCGACATGAAAGCTTGTAAGTCGTCTCTTTTGGGGGGAGTATCGACCTGTTTGCAGGCAGCGACCTGTTTCTTTCGCATTTCAGCTTCCTTCGTCATTTCTTTGGGGTCCAAGTAGTGGAACTGCTTTCCACCAAACGACATGACAACGTCTTGCTCATTCCTGAGACGGGCCGCGTATAGAGCATGCTGTGATGGTTGTTGTTGGACGAGTGGCTGCTGCTGAGTCCAGGATGGGACCATGAAGGGAGTCGAGGACTCCACAGCAGCAGAAGCCATGGAATATGATCCCGACAAGGGAGGAAGGGAGAAAGCCGATGCATTGTTGACGGCATAATTGGATTCCTGTTTCAGAGGGGGCATGGGACTCTGTTTGGGGCTCTCGAAATGCTCTTCGTGGCTGGAGACGCTTCCGTTATCGCAGTTTCCATACTGATGCTGGGCGGCAGAAGATGATTCCATTCCGACCCAGCTCATTTCCCAGAGATGGGGCTCCGTTGCAGGGTTGGACCTGGCACGGACTCCGGTTCCCTTGACCTTGGTGCGCTGGATCTTGTGCGACAAGGCGGGCTTTCCACGGAGGAAGTATTCATGGTAGTATCCTGAAGAAACGAAAGAGACTGCTATGAGCGGGGCTTTCCTCAACAAAACCAACCACTGTCTCCCGATGAGAACTCAAAGACCGCTTACCATTTTTATCTCTTCCACGAGTGAGGCGTTGGAAACCATACAGGTTCAATTGGCGCTGGAATGAACTCATCTTGGAGAGCTTGAAGTATGTAGGGAGCAACTCCTTGAATTCCTTGGGCTTGTGCACGACAAAGGCCCGGCCATGGGGTTGCCAAGAGATGACATCGGCGTGGCCATCTTCTTGCATTTGGTCCAACATTTTGTGCAAGCGAATGGGGAATGGAGTGGTGACTCCTCCGCGAGCTGGGCGCTCGTCGATCAATTCGAGTTCGTTGGCGTGGTCATGGTAATCGTGTTCAACGATAATGTGATGATGCCGTTGCTTGCGGCTGCTGTTGCTTCCGCCATTGTGACTCTTGACGTTTTCAAGTGCTGAGGAAAGTGAGGAAGTAAGGTTCGACACGGCCTGACTGTTTTGCAAGCCAATGGCAGTAGCGTCAAAGGGAGCTTGGACCTTGTAGTTCAACTGAGTTGATCGGCACATGTTGATGATTTCAATGAGTGATTTGTTTAGCTATGAATTTGATGTTTGCTGTTGATGGGAGCTGATATTGTGAGCCTTCCAAGAGTTTTTTCCCCAAGCACAGCTGCTTGTTCCGTGGGAAATTTTTCTAAGTCAATCTGCGTGAACGAACGGGTTTGGTCTTGAGTCGAGTCACTGATGAGGCTCCCGTTTGCTGGTTTTACATGTACTCCGCCTTAACTTTTGGCTTGACTTTAACGCCCTCCCGGTCATTAATCCGAACGTTCTCGTTTGTGCTGCTGTTGATACTTTCTGGATCCACTCACCTGCATGTTCTGCGATGCATGTGTGGATGCAGGTGAATGGCTTCTTGTGTGGTATAATACCGTACGGTAGTACCGTAAATGGTACCGCTCTCGTACCATTCGGAGTACAGTCGTACTAGTAGTAACGCTGGTACATGTACCGCATGTTTTCAGTCCCGAGAAAGGTCTCTAAAATCCCGTGGAAGACTCGAGTGTCACTCTTGTACCACTGACTGGAAATAAGAAAAGCCTCACCCGGAAAAACTCTTGATAGTTCCACTGCTGTTCCACTGTTATATGAGCCTGCAGCTGGCGACCCAGTGAATTTAAGTACCGGTAAGTGAGCAGCATCGAACCAGTGATGTGGAATCTTGTACTTTGAAGAGCAAATGTACAAGAGTCATAACACGTGCATCACCTAAACTCATCAGATTTATTGGGTAGCTTGAAGTTTCAGTTAGTTTGCTAATGATCACAGCTGATCACAATACAGGAATACTCAAAGAATGAGAAGATGATAGTTTACTTCATTCGTGAGTTACACTTCCATCAAGTTCCATGTCGTCAGGACGGCTTGAGAATTGGACGGAAAAGCTGACGGAACGGTTTTTGTAAAATAATAATCCAAAATCCGATCCCGATAAGGACTTCCAGCTCTTTACCATGATGTGTGGAAACTAAGACGAAGAACATCGGTGGTCGCAAGTTGTAAGCGACGTCTGCTCACTACCGGTAACAATATCATTGGTGACTATTAGCCGTACTAGCATACTAATACTGTAGCTTGTAGTTCACGTGGCCTCATCTCCGATTTCGTCGGCTTCGGGGGCCTTCTCAACGGAGAAGCAGAGAAGCATGTTTTTTCTTTCAGAGCTTCGCTGAGCAACTGAACGTCTTCTTTTGAAGCAACTAAAGGTTGTACTTCACGTGGCCTTCTCAAGGGAGCAGCATGTTTCTCTTTCAGAGCTTCCTTGGCCAACTGAAGTCTTCTTTTGAAACAACTTGTTACAAGTAGTAAGTCTACGCACGGTCTTCTGGCTTCTGGAGCTACGAGCTATGCATCCCGTAGCTACGATACCGGTACCTCTCTCAAGAATGGCAATACGCAAGAGGCGCCGGTAACGCTGGCTACTAGTAGCAGTTAGGTTTTAAGGAGATTGAAGGATTGAAGGACTTGTATCTATTTGTTACGGGCGACAATTTCTATCTGATAGGTACCGTCAGTAGTAGAGATCTACTACTACCGGTACCGGTAGGCGCTCCACTTCAATGATCTATTCAAGTGAGTTTGCTGTTGAAGCGGCATGGTTCAAAACGCTACATAACTGGCTGGAAATTGTTTGCATTCATAGTTTCTTGGTTTGATCGTTTGATCAGTAGTGTAGGCGACAATGGGGTTGCAGAGAACAGCTTATGTTCAAGGAAGCAAGAAAATTAGCAAGAACGTGCTAGCCTTAGCGGGGCCGCTGAATCGGAGCCTCTCGTCTGCTTTCTTGCCCTTTAGAAAAATCACCATGGCCCCACCAAAAGAAGAAGGGCTCAAAAGGGAGGATAGAGCAAGCACAACTGCACTACAAAATTTAATTGAACATGAGGCAGCGTTCACCTGTCAGCCAGGATTAATGTCAATCCAGCCAAGATTGAAGGCTGCAACCAAGTCGTTCGAAGAACCGAATCAACCGGAACCAGAACTCAAGCTGGACCTAGGATTTATGCAGATGTTTTGGGTCTAAAAAAGCCAGTCGGTTGTGGTTTGTTGTTGGCATGAGAACGCTGCTCGTCGTGTCCCAAGCTGTACAGCTGTACTACATGTGCTACTACTAGGCAATTGTTGCTACCTTTCTTCTTCCTGGCTGAGATAGATGCTTTGCAGATTCAGTTTTCACCAAAGCCACAAGCAAGGCAGCATGGGAGTGTGATCTGACTAACTCTTCCACCAGCCCCTCCTTGGAGAGCAGTTGGAGAACCCAGTTGCCAATCATAACTCATCACCCAGAAATGGGTGGCTTTGCCTTTCCAGAAGAGCCTGCTTCTGGCTTCAGAGGCTACCGGTATGGACTGGCAACCCAAAAAGATAGGGAAGAAAATCAGAAGTGGGTCATTGCATGAAGATTCAGCGTTCATGGAGTTGCCAGCGGCTACCAGGTACACGCTTCTTGTTCTCCCGCTAAGTCATGGTGCTATGCATCATACATCATGCAACAAGCTACCAGGTATGCAACATGACTAAGTCTTTAGCATAATTTTACTTTGTAGGTCGGGTACCAGTGGGAAAGGATGTCAGTGGAAACAGTTCGCATTCCATTGTTTTTAAAGTTGGGTCTTTGGAATTGGAAAGCCATTTCCCAACAAGCTTCTTTGTTCTACCGTTAAGTCATTTACTATATCTTGAGTGTACTTTGTAGGTCGATTATACCAGTTTGAAAGCAGTTCAGTGGAAACCATTCGCATTCAATTAAGCGAGGTCTTTGGAATTGGAAAGCCGTTTCCCTGAAATCTTGTTCTGCGGGTATTGCTGCAAGGGTCTAGCTCAGAAAAGATTGCTTCGATGGTCTTCTGAGGAAGCAGCGATACAAACTTCAAGTGGGATTCTGGAAAGACCACATCACTTACTTGCACTTGCCTCTCCTTTTTGTCACGTCAGTTCAGTTCGCCGGTGAGGAATCTCAAAAAAAGCGAACCAACTGAATGTGGCGCGTCGTCGCCCCACAATTATGGCCTCGGCTCTTACTTTTGCGGACTTTCTGCTGGAGCAGCTGTGGGACGTACGGACGTACAGTACTATTAATAGTACAACTTTTTCTCCTGTTGAAGATGCTGAAGCTGCAGGCTGCAGGCTCTTCTTTGTGACTTTGTGGTTTTGTGGTGGGTCAAGCTCGAATGCGAACAAACAACGCAAAGATCCGAGAGCGAGGTTTCAGCTTTCCTTTGTCTCCTCTCATAAAATCACCTCCTCAAAGCTTTCTCAAAGCAAGCAAGCAAGCAGGATCTCCAAGGTATCTCACCTCCACCACCTTTCATCTCGCTTTTAGCATGTGCGTCCCCTCATTCAACAAGAGTAACAGCGTTGTCCAAGTGAATATCGATACCCAAGAAGCCAAGATGACTATCAACCCCACCACCCCTACGATGACCCGTCAGCGACGCAGCAGTACCTCTTCGGTTGCCAGTCGAAGAGCCAAGCGCCACTACGTCGAGCACAACTACCGTGATCACTACAATGATCCCATCTATGTACCGGGTGAGAGTGACGAAGAGATGGAGACCCCTAAACGCCGTGGCCCTCGTGGTGGAGTGGTCGTTCCGTTCCCTGAGCGCCTCTACAACATGTTGTGCCAGGTAGAAGAGGATGGATTTGAGGATGTGATTTCATGGCAACCTCATGGAAGGTGCTTCATTGTGCATGATCCCAAGAGATTTGTGGACGAAGTGATGCCAAAGTAAGTGTTCTGGGTTTGCCAATAAATTGGTTCAAAAATTCTTTTTGTACTAACAAGCTGTGCCCGATAATCGAAATTTAGGTATTTCCGTCAAAGCAAACTTACCTCCTTTCAGCGCCAAGTAAATCTCTATGGATTTCGACGCCTCACTGCCGGAAAGGACCGCGGTGCCTATTACCACGAACTTTTCCTTCGCGGACGTGCCGATCTCTACAAGCGCCTTGTAAGGATCCGTGTCAAGGGAACTGGTATCAAGTCAGCTTCATCTCCATCAACAGAACCGGACTTTTATACCTACCCCAGATGCGCCGAAAACGACGCTGCCAAGTCCATACGCTCCAAGGACGAAGATATGGAAATGAATGCATTCATGCCCATTGCCGATACCACAAGCAGCTCTCAATTTGTAAGCATGGAAGATGCACTGCCCGCCAAGCCCATTTGGAAGCCATTGAGTGCTCCACCGAAAATGGTGATGGTTTCCCCTGAGCTGGGACCCATCGAGGCGACATCCATGGGAATGAGCAGTGGGCTGAAGAAAAGCTTTGGGGAAAGCGATTTTGAGGATCCATGGAGGCTTCCTACAAGTACCTCGGGGCTTCTTTCCCTCTCTTCTATGGCCAAGGGGATTGTGTTCGGTTCTACTAGCTCACTGACAACCAGTGCTATCCAAGAGGATCCTTGCCCCATCACACCTGAATCCACACTTCGACAAATTGTGTCGAATGAGTTGGATCAGGCTCTGGCCATGGTGAGTCCCGGTGACTCTCCTATCCCCTCTACATTTCCGTCCATGGCGTCCCTGGCACATGCCCCGGCATCCATGAAACATCAAGATCTCCTGGCATTGGGCCCAGAAACAGCGATGGACTTCAAAATGGACACCTTCCAAGAAGGAATTGAAGCCCTGCTTGAATCTGACTTTTCGGGCTTCCCTGAAATGCCCGGCACCGATGTCAAGCAGCCAACGGATTATTCTTTGGACCCTTTGTTCCTCTTGGATGAAGTTGTTGGAAATTAAGATGTCAACTCCTCTCTATTGGGACCACCCAAGCAAGCAGCCTATGATCCCAGCAGCCCGCGACGGAAAAGCGCACCAAAGTCACAGTCAGGACAATTGCGCTGTCGCATGAAGATCAACTTCCAAGGAACTGGTCCTGCCGACTTCCAGGCAGACAGAAAGCAGCCAGCCAACCCCCGATAAGATCCATTCAAACCAACGAAACCAGCAAACAATCTTGGCCAGGTTCCGCTCAATCTTGCTTCCTTCCCATGCACCCAGACATTGCATGCTTACATTTTGCTTCATCGTTTATAAACTTGTATTCATGTTATTAATTTCTTTGTTCTTCTCTTTCAATTTGACTAGCTAGCTTGCTTGCTTGCTTGCCGTTACAGTGCTAGTACAATGAAGCGTAGGGTTGCATCAAGCATGTCGACAGTCTTAGATAGCCAGTAGTTTGGTGCTGTACATGTACTGAGATGATAGGTGGCATTCAACTCATTCGATTTGTGCCTTGTGGATCCGGAGTCAGTTTCGTTGGCCAGATGCTACGGAGGAAGAAGAGGGTTCTGCGAAGACGTCGGATTGCTCAGATAGATTTTCAACAATGGCTGTCATGACGGCTGTTATGACCCTTTTTGAGAATTGCATGCTCTGACAAATCGGCATGGCTCTTCCGGACAGCAAGAAGATATCTATTGCGGTGCACTGGTTGGCCATACTGTTCTAGCTAGTACTTTGGCTGTGCCTCTTTTGTTTTAGTTTGCTCACTACAGTCCCAAACGTAATGGAAGCGAAAGCTATGCTCCCTGGATGGTGTAGAATTCATGCATGCACCATGGTATGCAGAAATCTTGCAAGCATGTATTATTATTACTAACTATGATTTTAAAATGATATGAACTAATTCTCCTAATCTCCTGTGGCACAGAAACTGGTAATACCTAACGGTATGGGTTCAAGTGAACCTGGGCCCTGCGCAGCCCACCTCGACCAACTCTCCTTGAATGAAAAGCGGATCCAATTGCCATTCCTCGAACCCATCCATATGCTCGGAAGTGTGCACATTGCCATCAACACTTTCAAAGTGCTGGTATGGATCTTGTAGCAGGCGTCTGATTTGGTCTTGAAAGGAATCGTCCTGAGGCACCTCTTCCATGGAGGCTGGAGCATCCAACAGCATAGAATCTAGGACAGGCACAGCCAAACTCTGTTTCTCGTTGCGGCAGTGCTCTTCTGAGGGCAAGCCAAAATGACACAGGAATCCAGCGTTCTGTCCACTGCCAGGAGTTTCATCCACTTCCTTTTGTCCTTGAAGCATTGATCCGAAACCAAGCCCAGGGAAGCGTGGCAGCATACGAGGAGCAGCCAATGGACGGAGAATACCGTCATTGCTACCAGGAGGGACACGGCTACTGCATTGACTTTGACAGGGAGCCAACTCGTTTTGAATCAAGGAAGAGACCTGTTCATCCGGCATCAATGTCTTGGGGTGCAGCTTGTCCGTGGAAGTCACTGGCAAGAGTCGCATCGTCATGGAGCCGTGCATATGATGATCGATGCTGGCAACCTCGTGAGAAGGATTGTACTCGGCCACATGATTTGAAAAACGAGGTTGGCAGTTGGCAGCAGAGATTTCCGTCGTTGGCATCATGGAGACAGTTTCAGGACTTTGGACTTCCTCAGTACTCTGGTTTGGGCTGGGCTCTTCGCCATGAACTGATGAAGGAATGGCAGGAATTGCAACCTTCAAAGCATCGATCCTTGGGTCATTTTCCTTGCAGGTCTCGTAGCCGTAGAAATTCGGTTCCGTAGCAGGCGACGCGGCTGATTTGCAACCGGTGCCCTTTACTCGCATTCGGACCATTCTTCTGTGAAGATCGGGACGGCCGCGAAGGAAGAGCTGGTGGTAGTACCCTGTTCAAAAATTATGCAGAAGATCCCCGCAAATGGTCAGACTCTGAAATACAACGTCTTCGTGCCATCTTCTGCCAACCGGACAACACGTTCTTGATGAATCTTACCGCCGCGATCCGTTCCAGCCGTGAGCCGACGGAAGCCATAGAGATTCACCTGCCGCTGAAAGGAGGTAAGCTTGCTTTGACGAAAGTATCTGATGTCGTGTAGAAAAAGCCGGACACTTGTTAGGCTTGCCATAGCATCAAGTTAGAGCAATGTGTCAGCAGGGGTTTTCACTTACTTTGGCATGATCTCTTCCACAAATGCCTTTGGATCGTGGACAATGAAGCAGCGGCCATGTGGTTGCCATGAAACAACATTTTCAAACTTGTCGGGCTCCGCATCCCTGAGCATTTTGTACAATCTTTCAGGAAATGGCTCCACAACCCCTCCTCGGGGACCTCGACGACTTGACTCGTCACGTTCCGTTTCTTCCTCGATAGGATCAATGATGGGATCAAAATAGTGGTCATCGTAATTATGCTTGACGTACGTGCGCTTGGACTTGCGTCGAGAGGACTTTCGGCAATTATCACGAAGACGCGAGAGACGGCTTTCTAGCATCGTGGTGCTGGTGTGCTGAGTCGAGCCTTGTAGATCCTTGGCGTTGTGCGCAGCAGGGTGATTCAAACCATCAACAGTCTCCATGGCCATTTCTGAAGGACTCCAGGGTTTGATATGAGCTTTCCCAATGATACACATCAAACACAAGGTTGCGGATGACTTGGATATCGCTTGAGAGGCAGCCTACCGGACGCGAATTTTGTGATCAGACCAAAGGTAGCAAGAGTTGAAGGGGTAGAGGTCCTATGGTCAACGTCAACAATAGCAGCTGGTGGACCTGCAATGAACGGCTGAGAGCATGAAAAATGTGCAGCAGCTGGAATGGTTCCGCCCAAAGGACACAGATCGGTTGAGCTCCCAGTATTTCGTGAAGCTCTTATGGATAGATCAGGAGTTGATCAGGTGGCTGGATCGGGGATTTAAAGGTCTTTTTTCACAGAGAAGATAGTTCGCATCCATATTTTTGTTTTAGGGTTAGGGTTACAGGTAGAGTCGCATTGAAGTTGAACTTTTGAAAGGGTCACCATCATTCCTCTTGAAGCTCTTCGGAACAGCCATTCTGGTTTCCTGTCGACAGCTGACCCTCCATCGAAAAGAGAACAGGAGCACTAGAGTACGGCACTTCAGCAGCTGGAGCTGGGCCACTTAGCTGGCTATGACCAGCTCCGCACTCATACATGCTTCAAATGGTTCTTGGTGTTTGCTGCACACACCGCCAGCCCAGGAATCCACTAGCTAGGCTGGACTCTCAGCACATTCATACTGCCCCAAGCCATCGCCAAGAACGACACACCTAGCTATCACTGAAGACAGCAACTTTTGAAGTACTGCAGTTCCAGTTGCACCTGCATCGGGCCTCTTCAACTTTTCTAACAAGATCTTCGCATTGGTTCTCAGTTTGTTCGGATTGTCTGCATGTGCCACGTCTATCTGTGGGGTTAGACGCTCCACGAGATTCATCATTCTTGTGTAGCAGCAACCATTCTGGCTAGACAACTCCTTACTCCTTCGCATTGTGCCTGGAGCTCCCTTACGCTGGAGGAGGACCCTTCCACGTAAAACCAAGAGCTCTAGTAGTAGTACCGTAGTGGGACCTGTTGCAGACGGATGCGAACATTGTTCGCATTCTTGATATTTCGTTCTCGGAAAACTGTTTGTTGCTCTTCGCATTGTGCAATCTTCTCCACTTCAGCTGTTTATTGGAACGTATCAGTGGTGGACGGAGTGCTCGAAACCCTTTGGACAGCTGCTTACTAGTACCGGTACCCTTTTCGTACCGGTACCGGTATGTCTGTTCGTCCGCGTTGAATTTTGGTTATCAAATCGTATATACTAGCTAGCTAGTGAGTTCAGGAGTGCAAGAGCACAGGAATACCGGTATGACCTTTTTTATTTAATTTCCAATTTCCGACACTATTCTCGGAGCTTTGCAAGCATTTTAAGAGCTCACGCCCTCATTATCATCACAACAACTGTTCGAAAGAGATGTCATCTTCTAAAGTATTTAAAGGAGAGATTTCTTTGCCAGCTGCCTTTTTTACTTACAGACATCATCATTATTTGATCATTTCTTTCCACCTATGAGTGAAAGATCCCCCCGACTATTCGATCAACGTTGTTCCGCTACATGTAACCAGATGACTTACTTGTGTATCGCAGATGCGTAGCGATTTTCCAAGACCAGCCTGAGTTGGGGGAGCTGTTGGGGGTCTATTTGTGCAATCCCACGACGCAAACCAGAAGAGCGGCCAAGTGCGAATTCCGGTTTGAGCCGAGCTTCTATTATGCATACCCAGTACCCAGGGTATCATACCGGTACTACGTTTCTGCAACAGTAGTTGCACAGTGTCAGTATGTGCTTCCCACTGCTACTATGTGGATCTTACATACTCTCAGGATCAATGAGGGTATGCTATGTAGAGAAGCAAGGGTATCGGCAGTCATTGAAACAAAGATCCTCTCAATAAGACTCTCATTATTAAATAAACTGCAACAAGAGAGATATAAGACCGGCATTAAAGCCAACCACATACTGAGAGGATTCCCATTTCGCCTTAAGTAGGCACAGAAGGTATCCAATGTGATCCAATCGTTCTACGATCCACCGTACTGTTGCAGGTTCCAGCATACTCAAGTACTGATCGGCCGTTGAATCGTACGTCATTGGGGGGTACTCAAGCAATTTTAAAATTGGATCCCGTGCCGTAAAGAGGCAAACAACGGGCAAATCCCACGCCATCGATCGATCGATCGATCGATAGTCTCCGTACGGCTAGCTCAGTTCAGTTCTCCAGTTTTCCTCATTATTTTCATCCCTTCTACTTTGTAAAGGAAACTCTGCCGAAATTCCACCAAACCAACAATTGCTTAGTTGACTAAACAATTCCTCCACCATGGCCACTGCCAATGATGGAGCCCTTGGATTGGAAGACGTGCCGGAACTTCCTGAAGCACCCACGGAACAGCCCAAGTACAACCGGGACTACCATCGACTCTTCATCAAATTCATGAGCTGGCTGCACAAGAGGACGTACACCAAGGCGGCTCGCTTCCAACCCAGTGCTTTGGGCGGCATCCAACCACATCACGTTGCCGACTACCTGAAATGGCGTGCGTATGGTACGACGGACGTTGACTTCAAAGACCTTGAGCAGAATCCAACTTGCCGCTCCTCTACTCTTGAGCAAGACAAGAAGGCTATTTCTTTCTACATGCCCATCAAAGGTGCCACATGGAATGGAACCTCCGGCAATCCAACCAAGTCCGATCCTGTGAACGAAGTGGTCAAGGAAGTCAAGAAAGCGGAGACTCAACACCGCAGGAAGAAGTCCTGTGCCACCAGGGATTTGACGGAAACAGAGTATCGCAAGGTGGTCCATGAACTCTACGGCAAAGGGAGCTTTGAATCGACCATCCGTACAGCCTGCATGTTGAAGCAGCAAGTCCATCTCATCACCAGGACGGATGACATCTCCAAGTTGAAGTATTCCGACTACAAGCCGCATCCAGACTTCCCTTTTGCGCTCAGTTGCAAGGTGCATTGGTCCAAGAATATTTCAGAAGAACGACAATGCCCTGACCAAATCATTCTTGGGTCGATGGATACCGACTTTTGTGCCATACTCGGATTGGCGAATTACATGGAGGCATCCTTCAACTACGGGTATGGTGGCGCCGCTGGTCGGGAAAATGCATTCCTCTTTACTCCCGAAAGCGATCCCAAGTTGGCTCCCAAGCACTGCAACGCAGCCTACCGCAATATTCTCAAGGCTGTCTTTTTGTCGGCTCCATTTCTGGCTGTGGCGGTCCTCATTGCCGGTGTTCTTGGGAGTCACAGCATTCGGAAGTTTGCTGCAACTCTGGCAAGAGGAATGGGTGCTACTGCTGACGAAGTTGATATTCGAGGTCGCTGGAAGGCTCGCTTATCTGGACGGGTTGTTGATGCCTACATTTCGCCTGAACAGCCCTGGATCGACGCCCGTGTTGCCGAAAAGCTTTGCATGGGGGCTCCTACAAGCTACACCCGGATGCCAAGAGAGTGACTCCCAGCTGGTTGCTTGAGCATGTGGTGCCAAGGACGCATGCGTTTTACGACGGTGTCAACGACATTTCCCTGCACTTGGCTCTGCCTCTTTTGTGGGCTGCCCTTGACGAATCTTGGGAGGAGAGGTGAAAGCGTTACAGTTCCTCCCACGACTCAGAGTATCCGTGAGTAGATTGAGTCATGCTTTATGAGTCAACACGATGGAACAGAGAACGCTGGCAAGAACACGTTCTCAACGAAACCAAAGGACACGGTAAATTGGAGTATTTGACAGGAGTAAAGCATCCTGCAACGAACCGTTTCCCGCAGATACCGTTGACTTCCGTATGATCAAGATCAACTACCACGATGCATTGATCCAACACGCTACGAACTAGCTTTACTGATCGCATCAATCAAAGCTCACAACACAGATTATGAATGATTATGAATTACTAAGAAGCGAACTTTGCATTTACTTTGCACTCGTCTTGAATAGTTGCAGCTGTATCTCGTTGGGTGGTAGCTACCTCTACAAGATCCCTCTATTAAGTAGTATTTCCTCACGTTAGCAAGATTAACTAGTCGCAGTTACGCACTGCCACACCTCCATCAAGATGGCCGAGAACCAGCCAGGCCAAGCATGTCCTATGCAACCTATGCGGCGAAGACGCTTCCACAACAGGTACAATGCATCTCACATGCGCATGCACTGTCTGAACAAGGAATACGACGGATGATGGATCTCTACTTCTCCAAAGATGAAGTTATGGATCTCCAAGCTTCCAACGACACCACGGCGCTCCAGACCATACCTCTCACCAGGAAGAAGCTACTGCTCGCGGCGATACAGATGTATCACCATTGGTCGTTCAAGAGGAAGGCACCCTCCGCATCGTCATCCTGCGGTCACCGCACTCGATGCTTTCAGAGTTGGACTCTTCCAGCCACAGGCGAAATCGTCCCATGGCAACAAATGAGACGCAGCGATGCCACGATGACCGATGGGGGCGTCAATCGCACTTTGGGACAAGAAAACAAGCCCGTCCGCTCAGAGTTAAGAGAGTTTGCGACGAATCAGTCTTCATCAAATGGAGGAAGAATTCCTCAACACGCTAAATCTCAAGGTCTCTCCCATCTCATTGATTCTGGCTTCACGGTCACCAACGTCGAACTAGACAGAAACAACGAGAATGGATGTACAAGACCTTCGAAGACATCTTCCAAGAAGCACAGGCACGATCTGTCGTCCTTGCCAACGAAACCAACAAGGACACTCGTGCGATCTGGAAGGCAATTGACGAATATTACTCCAAGTCCATGGTCGCAACCCTGCGCTCGGATAAGATTTCTGTGTTATCCACCTCCGCCGATATCGCAGAAGGTGTATGGAGAGGGTCCCAAGCTGGTTCATCTCCAACTTCCTCGAACAATTTTGGCAGTACAATGAGATCAGCGACGAGCTGTACACTGACCAACAGGGGGCACGTTTCTTGGAACGCTCAATCTCCAAGGCACCAAATCTTGCCCCTGTACGACGTCTTGCACTGCAAAACCAAGAAAGCTGCAGGCGACACCTCCCAGTATACGCTCGAGCAATACCGAGCAGCCCTTCTCGAGCAAGCACAACTGCATGACAGTGCAAATCATGCAACGTCCACACGCTCTCGAAGCAACGCTCGTCGTCGCACCTACCACACGAAATTCTCTTCGATGATGGTACAGCGGAACCTGTG